GATCACGAGTTGCTGTGCTGAAGTATATTTGATTTAAAGTTCTATAATGTATCGTATCATAGAGTTTAATTTCAATGCTCCCACCATTTTATTGGAAATCAGTACACATAATCTGACTCAAGACAAAGCTAGTCAATTTAAGAAAATTGTATAGCTTGTTCTGCTTTCGATGGACCTATCCTACCAGAGTTTGCGATATTGGCTATAATATTGTTCGATCCCTTGCAACTCCATGGCTATGGTAAAAGTAAGTTGTGTGTTTAATAATCGTTTTGGCATGTCCTATTGAATGATTAGGTTACTTCCAAGCATTCTTCAAGTGAAGACCATTACATTTTGTTAAAATAGAAAAATTGAAAATTAGGATTTTTTGGAAGTTACAAAATTAAAAGTGTAATACAAAATTTGGATTCCTTTTCCAAAATCAAAGAGGAAATGTCTTATGGTCAAGGTCGATCAGAGTCGAAATGGCAAAGTTATTAGCCCTCAAAGGGGTAAATGTGTGCAAAAACGACCAAATTGTCAATTTGGGGGTCAATAACTCTGCCATTTCGATTCCGATCGTCTTGGAGCATAAAACATTTTCGTTTTCTTTTGTCAAGATGACCCCGAAACAATAGTTACCTTTGCACATTTCCCTCGAACCCCAAACGCCTCCTCCCCTCCAACTTACGTAAGTAAACACGTAAACCATTCAAAATATCACTTTCGTTCCTTTTCACCGGACACCGGCGAAACTTGGTAAGTCGAGTTCCGCAACTCAAAAACTAAAAATTTCACACTCGGTTTGACCATCTGACATTATGATCACGTGTGAGAGAATCAGAAAGTCGCGAAGTGGGCGCAAGAACCCATTTGCGTGTTCGCGCTCTTTTTCACTCAGTGTAGCCACCACCGAAACAGCAACATTTGAAGCTCCCCTTACGAAAAAAAGAGCCATATATTTCAAATTAGTCCATAGCGAACGAAAAGAGGACACTGGGTCTCCCTTAAATTGTCGATGTTAAAGCAAACTTCCATTTCGTCGTCGGTGCAGCCGTTTTCCAGAAAAAGAGGAACGCAGACACGGACAGACAGACAGACAGACAGACTCACGACGGAGACATCGCCTGACCCCTCATCGACTTGGACTGAGCTTCGCTCAGCGATAAGTTTTGGCTTTTAATCCGCACCAGCTGCTGGTGCGTATAACTTTTCATGGGCTATTCGCACCAGCTGGTGCATATAACACTTGGTGTCTTA